GAGAGAGAGAGAGAGAGAGAGAGAGAGAGAGAGAGAAGAGACTGTAATAATTAATATCAATTCATTTATGTTAATTTGTATAAAATGCAAATGTTATAAAAATGGGGCGTCAATTGAAAGAGAATAATTTTTATTTTTTTTCACAAAATAAACAAATAACATGCTGATATTTAACAAATTAATATCGGAATATAAAATATTATGTTAAAAGTAATGTTATTGTAAAGTAAGTTTATGTAAAGAGTTTTAGTTGTATATCGTATTTAATTATTTTAATTAAATCACAATTAATATTTTGCCAGACATATACCCGACTCGAGTCGACTGACCAAAAGTGACGCCCTATTTGTCGATGTAATACACACGGAGACCGTACGGCGCGGGGCTTTTCAATGGGGCACCGGTATGGCCAAGAGTATCGGACACATTGACTTTTATCCCAATGGGTTAGTATACTTACATAAATAAATATAAACTAGTAATATCAACAGAATTTAAAATATACTTTATAAATGTCATTATTTACTAAATCTACCGTAACTAATTATACCAGGGGCTTGGATCAGCCGGGATGTTCCACACGGCATAGGGTAAAAAAGTTTTTTGAAGCTGGTTGGAATGAAGGCCTAAGGGAGATGTTTGCCTGCAATCACCGCCGGGCTCATGATTATTTCATCGAGAGCATTAATTGTAATGAGCAGGCTAATAAATGCCAGTTTACAGCCCATGCATGTTCTAATTGGCAAACGTTCGCCAATACAAACAGCTGTACAGAGTGTGGCCCCGATGGGCACCTCTGCGCTCAAATGGGATTTAATGCCAACAAATGGCAACCCTATGCTAACCGTTCAAATGAAACAGCGTTTTATCTAAAAACACTAGATAGATCACCTTTTTGTGGCAAGTATTTTAGCTAGATAAATGTTATTTTACTATTTTAATTAGTTAAAATTTTATAAATGTGTAAATTTATAAAATTTATATTGGTTAAATTTATAACTTAAGTTAAATGGTTTAAATTTTAAATGAATTAATTTATTATGAATGCAGGTTTTCAATATAAGGTTGCCATAAAAATGGTCGACGAGTCCAACATAACTGACCACAATCATGAGAAATATGTCGGGAAAATGTCCCTCAAATTCCCAAATAAGTCTCATTTTGTAGACACTACTAAAGAGTAAGTAGTTATACATTAAAACCTTATTATTATAACATAACCTACTAGCTAACCCTTGTGTAACGAACAGCTCCATCGGGTTATCCATTGGACAGACCTATTATTCTGTGGTAATCCTTGCGGACGATCTGAATCTGGCCTCAAATAATGATTCATACGTTGAATTCAAGTGGAGAATGAGTAAAATGCAAAGGATTTTCCGCGCGTTCCGCAGATCCAGATCTAAAATTCTGTTCATTAGTGAGGTATCAGTCGCGCCGTTAAGCACAGGCAACCAGACTGTCGTCCGTTACTGTAATGCTAATCCTATGGCCGGTGTGGACACCGATAGTGTTATTAGATTTACCAAATGCTAACTAAATAATATACTTTAGATTGTTTATGCTAGTTTAATTAGCATTGTTTATACTGTAGTTTGTGATATCAATAATGCATGTATGATGTATCAATATTAATTAAATTTTGCGTTAACAATAATGTTTTTGCTTTGCAATTCCTTATTATGTTAGATAATAGTTATAATAATCTAGATGATTTTATTATGTAATAACATAGTTTAAAATCATTTTTGAAAGAGAGAGAGAGAGAAAGTTCTAGATAAGTTTGAAAACAATAAAACAATCTATATCACAGATCAGATGATTGTCATTACAATGTAATATAAAATATTTGAAGTGTTTATTATTAAAATTTTTATTTTTGTTTACAATAAATATTTTAATAAATTGAAAAACAATTGAAATAAAAATATTAAAATTTTTAATGTTTTTAAAAATATTTTTATTATATAAATCCCATTTTGTCGACACCACTAAAGAGTAAGTATTTATGCATTAAAACCTTATTATTATATCAAAACCTACT